ATCTCACATTGGGCCTTTCATCCAATATTTGGGCCAACAATTGTAACCACTAAATGGGCTTTCATGGGCTTAAATGTGTGAATAAAGCGGTTTGTAAATATCAGAAACACTTCGTCGGCGAATCCAGAAGTCTCTGGTACTTACGTGTCTGCGATTTCTCTATCTTTCTACATTTGGGTGGATTATTCACGAGCTTTCTCTCGAAATGTCTCCTCTTTCTCGTCGGATTCGTATATATAGCTGCTTCCACCAATTCTGATTTCTCATCAATCAAGCAGATAAACAAACGAGAGAACAAAGAAATCTTTAAAAAACCCACCTTTACATTCAGCGAATTCTACTTTCGAATTTTCAACCTCTGAAGCTTTCTTTCTATCAACAATGGCGACGAAATCGGAGAAAGCTATTGGTATCGATCTGGGCACTACATACAGTTGTGTCGGAGTTTGGATGAACGACCGTGTAGAGATCATCCCTAACGACCAAGGAAACCGTACGACTCCGTCGTACGTCGCCTTCACTGATACAGAGCGGTTAATCGGCGACGCAGCGAAGAATCAAGTGGCGTTGAATCCTCGGAACACTGTCTTCGATGCGAAGCGGTTAATTGGTCGGAGATTCTCAGACCCTTCTGTTCAGAGCGATATGCGACACTGGCCGTTCAAGGTTATTCCCGGTCCTGGAGACAAGCCGATGATTGTCGTCTCGTACAAGAACGAAGAGAAGCAGTTTTCTCCTGAGGAGATATCTTCAATGGTGCTGATAAAGATGAAGGAAGTCGCTGAGTCTTTCCTTGGCCAGACCATCAAAAACGCCGTCGTTACGGTCCCGGCTTACTTCAACGATTCACAGAGACAAGCCACGAAGGACGCTGGTTCGATTTCTGGGCTTAATGTCTTGCGGATTATCAACGAGCCGACTGCTGCAGCTATAGCCTATGGTCTAGACAAGAAGGGGACCAAGACCGGTGAGAGGAATGTCTTGATTTTCGATCTCGGTGGTGGAACGTTTGATGTTTCGCTTTTGACGATTGAAGAAGGTGTTTTTGAAGTCAAAGCTACTGCCGGAGATACTCATCTCGGTGGTGAGGACTTCGACAACAGACTTGTGAACCATTTCGTTGCGGAGTTTAAGAGGAAACACAAGAAGGATATATCTGGGAATGCGAGAGCATTGAGGAGGTTGAGAACAGCTTGTGAGAGAGCAAAGAGAACGCTTTCTTCCACGGCTCAGACGACTATCGAGATCGATTCTTTGCACGAGGGTATTGATTTCTACGCGACGATCTCTCGTGCGAGGTTCGAGGAGATGAACATGGATTTGTTTAGGAAATGTATGGATCCTGTGGAGAAAGTACTTAAAGATGCGAAGATTGATAAGAGCAGTGTGCACGAGGTGGTTCTTGTTGGAGGATCGACTAGGATCCCGAAAATTCAACAACTTTTGCAAGATTTCTTCAATGGGAAGGAGGTCTGTAAAAGCATAAACCCTGATGAAGCTGTTGCCTATGGAGCTGCGGTTCAGGCTGCGATTCTGACTGGTGAAGGAAGTGACAAGGTTCAAGATCTTCTGCTTCTTGATGTTGCGCCACTAAGCCTTGGAATTGAGACAGCTGGTGGGGTGATGACTGTGTTGATTCCGAGGAACACGACGGTTCCTTGTAAGAAGGAGCAAGTGTTTTCGACTTATGCGGATAATCAGCCAGGTGTTCTGATTCAAGTCTATGAAGGAGAACGTGCAAGGACTAAAGACAATAACCTTCTTGGGACTTTTGAGCTCAAGGGCATTCCTCCTGCGCCTCGTGGAGTTCCTCAAATCAATGTTTGCTTTGACATGGATGCGAACGGGATCTTGAACGTGTCTGCAGAGGATAGGACCGCTGGTGTGAAGAACCAGATCACGATCACGAACGATAAAGGAAGGTTGAGTAAAGAGGAGATAGAGAAGATGGTGCAAGAGGCTGAGAAGTATAAGGCAGAGGATGAGCAAGTTAAGAAGAAAGTGGAGGCTAAGAACTCTTTGGAGAATTATGCTTACAATATGAGAAACACTATCAAGGATGAGAAACTCGCGCAGAAGCTGGATCAAGACGACAAGCAGAAGATTGAGAAGGCGATTGATGAGACAATCGAATGGATTGAAGGGAACCAGCTGGCGGAAGTTGATGAGTTTGAGTACAAGTTAAAAGAGTTGGAAGGTATTTGCAACCCAATCATCTCAAAGATGTATCAGGCTGGTGGTGCTGGTGCAGAACCTAGCGCCGGAGGTATGCCAACAGACGGTGGCTCAGGCGGTGCTGGAGGTCCGAAGATTGAAGAAGTGGATTAGAGCGTGTGCATAGTGAGAGAGTGGTTATGGAACATTGGTGAGTCTTCTTAAGAGTGTCTATGTGTTGTTAGTGAAACCAATGAGAGTAATTTAGTTGTATGCTTTACTCTATTTTCAGTTTGTAACAAGAAAGAAAGAAAAAATTGTTTTTTTCCCCCAAGAGTTTTGACTTGAGAGAGCTGTTGTTGCGTAACCACAAGTCTCTCTACTAACTTGTTCATCAAGCTTTTATCTCACACATAAACCACGAAGAAGTTTGATATAAAAACACTATGTTGATATGGATGAATTTTCCTTTGCTTGTTGGAATCGTCTTTGTCCTGAAAAAAGCAAAAGTGATGAAAGAGAGAGAAGCTTGATCTTTGGAGAGTCAGAAAGAAAAGTATATTTGATCCTTCACTTGTCATTTCAGAATATTATCTGTCATTGTCCGCACCCACACGCGTATATATAATTCACTAAGGTTCACAATAGTAATCTCCACTCAACCAAATATCAACCAGCAATGGAGAGAAGATCTATTGCATTGTTCTTCGTCTGCCTCTTCTTGCTCTGCTTCACCATCTCATCAGATTCTCAGAAGCTCAACCCATTAACCGATCAAGAACAAAGCCATGGTGCTTCTTTAAGCATTTAGTGTTTTTCTTGTTTATTGTGACTAGTGATGTTTAACATAGTTATCATATGTTTGTTTTTCTTATGGCAGAGGTTACAATCAAAGCCATAAATAGCGAAGAAGATGATAAAAGCATTGACATCTTCCGAGCAGGGAAAGGAGGTCATGGAGTTACAGGTGGAAGAGGCGGAGGACGGAAAGCATCTCCAAAACGTAACGCCGCCATGGACCATAGGCCACCATTGTTCTTCTCTGCCGCCTCTGCTCTCTTTACTGGTTTCATAATGCTTTCATTAACTTCTTTCAACATGTCAATAAGATAGTTATATTGTGTGCGTCAGTCTCTGAACCTGAGAGTGTAACATATGTTATTGAACATTGTAAACTTTGAATTCGATTAAATCCTATATGAAAAAAACCTTTGTTATAGTATTTGTAATTAGGGATGGATACTGTCTGTGTCTACTATCTCCACAAAGCTAAGGGCCACGAAAAAGATGTTTCCTCCGTAAAAAGTAAAAACGTTTCTTTTGCACTGATCAAACTTGGAAACATTGTTTACAAATAAACAGGCCTACCAAGAACAATCGTTTTCTCTTCTTCAATTTCCCACAAACAAAATTAATGCCTAAGAGAGAACCGCTCATTTCTTCTTCTGAATCTTTTACTCTTGAGTACTTGAAACTAGAAGAAACCTCTTCCAATAATCAGGAGAAAGAAGACGAATCTTAGTCCATCAAGAACGCTCCGCTGCAATACCTGATCAAACCCCCAAATCTCAGAACCTTTTACTTCAGAAAAGGCAATAATTTGTTTCCGAGGCAGAGTATTTAGTTACCTGTTGCTGAATTTCCCAACAGCGTCTGAGGTATCAAGAAGAGTGTCGCTGGCTTTCTCCAAAGCCATGTAAAGCTCTTTACCTCTGGTCAAACGGGCGATCACCCACGCTTTGTTCTTAGCTCTGATGCATATTTCCATGTCTTTCCCCTGCCTTTTTGCACGGTTTTTTTCTATATCCACTTCTTCTCTGAGCTTGTTTAGTGCAAGCAGAGACTCCTACGTTTTTAAAAATTCATACACTTTTGAGTCCAAGGTAGTAGTTATCTCAGCTAGTAAATCATAATGTGAAAGGAGTTACCTTTGCAAGTGTTGCTACTTTTCCTGAAGGAGAAGCTCTGGAAACTTTCATGTCATTGTCAACTACCAAGTAACGGTAACCCTTAACATGGTAAGCATTCTCACCGCCCCACCCTCTTGTAATGTTCTCTTCAATTTTCAAAATTCTCAGTGATGCCTGGAAAGAGATATTGGGTATATATTAGAAGACACCAGAAAAGAGATTCACCAAGAAAGTTTGATAGGGGATGCGCTAACATCTTCAATAACTTGCTGTTTCACGGCTGAAACGCTTAAATCTCCATTGACAATGGCAGCTGTATGCATGAGAAGAAGTAACGTGAGACTATTATATTGATAAGCAAGGAGATACACTCTTTCTTGTGTCTGCTGAAGCCAGATTGTAGGGATGGCAGAATCAGGCGAGCCATCGGTCTCTAGACCCCAAATATCGGTGATAAGAAAACCATCTTTCCCTTTTGTCCACTTATCATTTTGTAGTGGCCTAATAACATGATGCATGTCATTACTATTTCCTGAATGTAGCGAATCAATTGAACCAAGGGGCGCCGAAGTAGATCTAGAAGAGATTACAGGTGACCCAGGCCCCTTACGTAGATATGACCAGGAATTTGCGCCAGAAGATAAAGCGTTTGAGGTCAACCTCATTANAGCAAATGTAAATAAGTTGACAGTATCATCAGCTGAGAGAGTTGTTGAAACCAATAGATCTTGAAATAAGATCATAGAGTGGCATCGCAAGCTCCCAGCACATGAATCTAGTACTTGAACAAGAGACTGTGCATCCAAAAAATGCTTGTCAAATACAATATATTATGTCTGTAATAATAGTCCAATAGATTTGGAGAAACAAACCTGAACTTCAAGTGCCGTGTCCCTTGCTACAGTAAGCATTTGAACAGTTCCACGCTCTCTCAAAGTTTCGCGAAAGGTTGGTAGCTGAAGTTTCTTCCCAACAAAAAGATCTGCCCGAAAGAGAAAATCTTTGCATAAGCTATATTACAAACGAACCAACTTGAGCATACTGCAGTTTTGCACAAATCCAAAGCAAGGCATTCGACACAGCAACTTCAGCATTTTACCACAGCAGCAGTCTTCCGAGCGAGACCGTTTTTCAAATGCTGACAATTAGTAACATAAAATGTACTGAAACTGGGAAACAGAATAAAATAAAACAGTGTATCATTTTATGTGCCAGATTTTGTGAGAATCGCTTACAGCTTAAATAATCTGTGATGAACGGATACAACAGTGATCGGGTAAGCACCCCTGTTGGTTCTTTTTCAATTAATGCCCTAATTGAACCGTGAAACATCACAAAGAGTGAGTGCACTTCCTTAAGCACTCTCCGAAGTGCATCAATCCTCCATATTGCTCCTGTCTCCTTATTTTTCTCCACAACCTGCCAATGTCTAGATTAGATTTTCTTCATTGACATTACTAAGATTACATGTGATGCAGCATTCATTTACAGAGTATGTTCTACAGCAAATAAAAGTTACACGATACGTACCATCACCATCCAGATATCAGGTTCAGCCTCGTGGAAAACGTGGGAATGTCTTTCTGCTTCTATTACCTCACAAGCTGCCTCCGGAGAGAAAAGTCTGCATTTATACTCACACCATGCCTCAAAACATTAACAAGAGTCACACAAGACTGGTTTTAACTAAAGCATTTTATCGAACAAATCACAAATACAACCAAATCTAGAACATCAGCAATGAAAAACACATCTCACAGTAGATTAAGGAGCTAGATCTACCGATCTTTTCTGATTTTATTGAACAAATGACAAATGCAACCAAATCTAGAACATCAGCAATGAAAAGAACAACACATCTCACAGTAAAAAGGAAGAATATATTAGCAGCTGACCTCGTAAAAGTAATAAGACCTTCACTGAGTCCGATAACTGATAGCTGCGTCGAGAAGTCTAACTCGGCAGGATAAAAGAACAAAATCTTGTCTAGCTCCTGTCCTTCTGTTTGGCCTCTCCTCAAATCAAACACACAAAGCCGAAGGCTTTCATCACCAGAGCTCATTGACGCCATTTCCAGTAGCTTCTACGAAGTCATAAACACCCTAACATACAATCACATGGTACGCATCAGAAATGAAGCATGTTACAAATTACTTTACTTCAAGATCCGAAAGTAATTTCAGAGTTTCAAGGGCACATTTGGTGATTCAACTACCGCACACAAACCGAAAGAAGGTTCCTAATACGAAGACCCGAAGATTCCCACAAATCGAGTAGAGAATATTAGTATTATTTATGGCTCGGAAACACAGAAATTGCGTGACCCCATAAAAAGAAATAATCGGAAACTTTGAAATTTACTACCTTGAGGAATGTAAACGAATCCAAAGAGGAAAGTCGATAGAGTGGTCAATCTTGAGGTATTGTGATAGTTCAACGATCGGAGCTAGATTCAGCACTAGATAGTGAAAAAAGCTCAAATTTCTGAAATCAAACTCGACATTAGGCAAGAATTCAATCGATTAAAACCGAAATCAGTCGAAGAGTTAGAGCAAAATTTTGGAGGATTTTTGTGAGAATGATGATGCTGATGAAGAAGAAAGAGCAGGTGGACAATTAACCGCCACAATAATTCGCAGATTGTAATCGGGTCGGGTTATGAAAGAATCGGGTCAAGATCTGAAACGGGTTCCGAATAATTTCCTCTAGATTCTCAATGGCTTACGTCATCTGTTTTTCCAAATTTGTGCATATCCCA